CTCGCTTCCGTCGGCAAGCAGGGCCAAGGAGGAAAAGCATGCCTGTTGGCTTTAACCACTTTTCTGCCTGCCTACTCCACAGCATTCGCCGCGCGCTCCTGCAGACTTTATCAGCAGCTCAGCCACAAAATGTCTTCGAACTTCGAAAAGGCAGTGGTTCGCATGTTGCACTTCACTGCCCTCACGGAGGTACTCTTTTCGTTACTCCAGCACTGCCCAAACAAGGCACGTAAGTCTAAGAAACATGCCACACGCTTGCGAGGGCCGCGGAATTCATCAAACAACCTATCCAGGGATCCAACCAAGCGGTCGCATTGCTCAATAGCTGATGTCTTCCATTAGTTCATCGATCTTCTGGCATGTGGTCAAGCTGTGCAGCCATGCGCCAAGCTCTGGAGATCAATCACTCAAGCACCTGGCCTGCAGCCTCACACATGTCATGCTGCTGCTTGGCCACCTATGCCTCATCAGCGAGACAAGGCAAATCCTGCCGGTCTGAGCATTTTTGCACCGCAAACAAGTCAACTGAACATTGAGCTGGCGCCTACTGCCGCAGAGAACAAGTCACGTCGCAATCTCAGCTTTAATGCAAGCGTATGTAGCCGCGGTGTCGACGATGGCTCATTCAGGGCAAAGCCATCCGAGGCATTGCGCACAAGCACACACTGTAGGCGGAGAACGCTTTCAAGCGCACCCCGTTATTGCTTTGCACACTAGGCTGCTGCGGCAGCAACAGAAGAGTGAAACTCATGGTCGTCACGCCTTCTGATTTCCCAATCCCTTTTGGCGAATTGAACTGCTCAGCATCAAGTCAATGCTGCAGTGAGCATTACAGCGTACACCTTAAACTTATAGCCGCATGCGTGTAGACCGTGCTCGAAGGCCTGTGCAACTGCTGTTGGGCCAAACAAGCGACTAACGTGCCGAAATTGCGGCATGCCTTGAGGGGGTGCTAGGCGGGTTCCTGGAGACAAAAGCCAAAGATTCTCGCACCAAGCCCCTACGCACAATGGGCTGAGACACGCCATTCACGAGCGCTGTGTCACAAATGCACACCAAAACACAAGCTCTGACGTCCAACCATATCGACGTCAGCAGCGTGAAACCTTCCATGCTTCAGGATCCGGAAGTACCGGCCATTGCAAGCAAGTGTTGGGCTGCGAGACTGCAAACGCATGTTGCGCCATGGTGCGTTTTTCAGGCATCACACAGCAGCGCTGCCCGTTCATTTCATCCTGCTGCAAGTGGCCGCGCTATTGCCGATTGCTCTGTTGCTCAGCTCCCAGCACAGGCTGCAGCCAAAAGCGCTCTCATCGTCATCACAGCGGCATGTGCCCGGTTGAAATTGCTTCGATTGGCACGAACCGAGATTGGTCGAAGTAAAGCAACAAGAAGCACGCGGTATCACTCAACGTTTATCTCGGTTTGCACGCAATAGTCAAGCTGTGATCAGTTGAAGACATCGCACATTGTCGTGGGGCCGAATTGCAACAAGACCCGCGAAATCTCCCTTCTGTTGGCAAGCAGGGCTAAGGAGGAAAAGCATGCCTGTGGGCTCTAACCACTTTTCTGCCTCCCTACTCCACAGCATTCGCCGCGCGCTCCTGCAGACTTTATCAGCAGCTCAGCCGCAGAATGTCTTCGAACTTCGAAGAGGCAGCGGTTCGCATGTTCCACTTCACTGCCATCGCAAAGGCACTCTTTTCGTCGCTTCAGGAATGCCCAAACATTCACAAGAGACAGCCCTGTCGACCCTTCCAACATGCTCACTCAAGGCATCGCACCGAGAACAAACGCATGAGAGATACGGCTCCGGGCTCACACTGCATCTGCAGCAGCGCCAATCCTTTGAACTACAAACATACAAGGGGCTCAGAACCATGCAGATATCCAGGCTTACAACTCTAGGCGAATAGAAGGTAGTCTTGCCTTTTCTCCCTGATAGCTCAAGGGGAAGCACGAAAGGCAGGCGAATGCTCAACAAACAGTGGGCACACGCTCATCTGCTTGCGCCCAGCACCGTGCTCGCGACGCAACAATGGCGCAAGGCAGGCGACAGTTCTTTTTCAGGAAAAAGCTCCGGTTTTTTGCCACAGCCTTTCCACACCCGCAAAGTCATATTGGCTATACACAGCCGGTTGTCTTTGGTACCAAGAGCCCTGAGTTGTCCTTGTCCACAGGAATTCGCGGATGCCTGGTTCAATGATTTTCCGGGTGTACACCAAAGCAAGCAAGTCTCCGACAGCAACCCTTAAGGTGGGTGCTTCCTTTCAAGAAAGCACTGTGAAAGGCCAAGGTTTTGCTGCGTTGCCAGGCCCAAGCCTACGCCGCGCCTTAAAGGGTTTCAGAATACAAGAAAGACACGGCTGGGGGTTCACCTTGGCAGCAATGCTGATGGACCAAAACAATCAGAAGTCATCGCTGGCGGTTGCAGACACTAACTGCAGCTGCAAAGAGCAGTCTAAGTCTGAAAATGTTAGCTGTCACTGAAGGAAGGTCCAGGCAATGGCTCTAGCTGGCAACGCGATTCTTCGGCCCTGTTCCTGGCTAGGCGTCAGCTCAAGCACTACTAATTCGAGTGCGAGGTCATTGTTTCAGATGTGCAACTGCTGTCGTGGCAACCAACCAAACAAAACGAATTATGGCATTATGTTCATCGAGGCGCGCCGAAGAAGCCAGAAGAAACTCTTGCGGCGCAGCTGCGCGCTCTGAGCTTTTGACGTTCTCAACGCTTCTTGAAGCTGTAGGGGCCCCAAGCGCAGGCTAGGCCGGAGCCAGTTGAGGCGTCGCGCGAGCGGCAAGGCTTGCTGGCGCTGACCTTTTTCTATTCGCGCAGACCAAGTTTCCTTGAAGCTCTCATTGGAATCAGTATCAAGCACATGGCGAGGGTGCAAACAGGTCGCAAGGGACATTCTGAAGCAGCTTCTTAGAATGGCCCTCCCCGCCGGCAAGCGGAATAAGGAGAAGTCGGCAGCGAACGCTTCTACAAGGCAGCCCGAAAATGTGAGGCTCCCCCCATGTTGCAGTCAAACCCGCTCGTCAAAGGCAGCTCAACACCTTACAAGCGAGCGTGAGCAGTCAAGAAGCCAGCAAAGGGGCAAACATGCAAGTTTGTCGTAGAGCGTGCAGATGACACAGAGTTTGCTCAGTGGCAGGAGATTTGGCCGAGAAAAGAGTTGCTGCGTCAACGTCCGAAAGATGTCAAACAAAAACAAGGGCGATTCCGCAACGTTTGGCAACAAGAGACAAACTGCAGGCGCAAAAAAGCAATGCTCCTTGTAACAGCTTTGGCCGAGGGTCCTCCTCCTTCTTCTCTACCTCCTCCTCCACGGTGTCAGGCATTGGCAAACCTACCTTGCGAGCTTTGCACAAGTGCCATTCGGTGCAACAAGAGTGAACATTGGGGCCAATGAAGGGTCGTATCAAGAGCCTTGAGACTCTGCGAACTCTAGCCTGCCCAAAATATGTGCACTACACAGCTGAGAAGCGCCAAGCAGCAATGACTTCCACACTTGACTTAAGCCCCACGTATATCTTTTTATCAGGACTCAGCCCAAGCAAGGCAATGATTGAGGTGAGACAAGACATATCTTGCACGGGTCAGCATTCTGACACTGAACACCGCATGCTCAACCCTGGTGAACACAAGTACAGGTGGCCTCCGCCTGATCACATCCTGGACGAGCGACACCGCGGAGCCATCCAGGACCTAAGCAGGCCACAGTTCACCTTGCGCTCAAAAAACCACTGCATCCCTAAAGTTGGACCTGCAAGTCCTTCCTCGGGGTGTGCCTCTTCGCAGGCATGTTGCCATTGACTTTGCGGGTGCTGGCTTGCCAAGCCCCTTTTCGACAGCGACAGGTAAAGCTTAGAGCCACTTTTACAGGCCTCGCTGTCTGGGAGTTGCAACTCTACCTAACACAGACAAACCCGCCGCTGAAAGCCAAGCTTGCGAGAAAATAGAACGAAAAAGCTGCCAAGAGAGCCTCACAAGGCATCCAATACAACCCTGCTTGCGGCCCTCTAGTTCAGTGCCGCACTATGGCAGGGAAGCCATGCCGTCGGCACCGCGGCTCATGCAGCACCGTTGCACAGGCGCCTCGCTCAGCACACTCCAGCCCCCGAAGTTTCGTCGCAAATTCGCTAAGGCCACCGCGGCGCTGCGCCCGCCAATGGCCGGAGGCTTGGATTTCCAAAGCTGAATACGGCGTCCCGCATCATTTTGATCAAAGCTGCAGTGTTCCACCAGTCACGTGCACCCAGAATACTGTCCTGACAAACAAAAGCCCTATTTGGAAACATCATGTGTTGTATGATGTGTATGTGTCAATCGTGTGTCTGAAATGTGTAAAATGCGTGCATGTGTACATGTGTCAACGGAGCGCTTCGTGTGTGCACAAAAGAAAGATGAAACGCGAGAACCGTCCCCTTCTGCAAATTGAGCACATTGCCTAGCGAAATTGAGCAATTTGAATAGTAAACTATGTGACCTGTGTTCAGCAGTGAACTGTGCAAAATTATGTGCGTGATTCGTGCAAAGTTGCGCTTTTGTGATGTGAGGATTGCTTAAAATGACTTTCGTAGTTTGCGCTGTTAATTGCGTGAAGTCTGTGCAAATTCTGCAGATCAAGCAAATTGCACGAATTGTGTCAATTGTGTGATTTGTTGATTAGGTTGGCCTTGTTGTTTTCGGCATGAGTCAAATGAAGCGAAAAAGATGTCAAAACAACATAGGCAGGCCATATCTTCAGGGGCCTGACAGCCAGGCCACACCCAAATCAACCCCCAAACTACATCACCTCAAGTTAATATCAGAGGTAAGCTCTGTTTGTTGGTCACTTTCAACTCCGGAACAAATAAAGATATATAAAATAGTGTATATATATAGAGTGCATGGTGCTCCGGCGAAAAGACCGGACTAGCACACTGCAACGTCCGACAAAATGCCCATTGCGAATCTAGCTACAAATCAAGCCAGCAACCAACATCATCTAACCTTTCCTTTGGCAAGAACGTTGTCCTTCAGCTTGAATGCGTCCTGAGCAGGCATTGCCGCTCGCAGAAAGGAGGCTAGGCAAAGTTGTTTGGGCTGCAGGCGATTCCCTCCAATGCTAGCAATGTTTAGTCGCGCAAGACAAATGCTTGCGTCGCAAATATCTTGCTTGCAACTATATACTTCATCTTGCCTTCTCCGCCCGACTGTCCGTTCTTCTTGCAGCTTTCAAAGGGAGGAGAGCTGCGCAGACGTGACATGGGCCCAGGAAAGTAAAGTCAGGCAGCACTGTCCTGAGCGCTGCACGGATTCATGCGTGGGGACTGGCAGACGTGACGTCACAGTTTTCAACCATCCGCCCTCACGCTGCCGATGGAGGAGCCACATGCACTCTAAGGAAGCTAGGCCCGGCAAACAGCTGGGCGCTGAACAACATTGAGCAAAGCATTTTGCCCCGTCCGCATTGGATTCCAAGCCTTGTCAACGCAACCCTATGGGCAAACTTACGACAAGTCTCAAGCATTTCTGCAGGCTTGAGAGCATGCTTCGCTTGTGCTGTCCAAGCGAAGGAGCGCTTGTGAGACTTGCGCTCTGCAACCGCCCAAACTAGGCACTTGCGCAATTTCTCCGCAGCAGCTAAAGCATCCAACCTTGAAAGCATGAGCCTTCGAAGCCCTACACGCCTACTGAGCAACCCAGGAAATGAGCCGTGTTCGCTCAAGGGCTGATGTCAGGCGCAAGCTCTGAGGCACGCGCTGAATACTGTAAGAACCATCACACGCTCATCTATCCAAAAGCCGCGCAAGTGTGCCAAAACCGCGTAGTTTGACTTCGAATACACAACTTGCCTGTTGAATTCTTCCAGGCCAGAACTCCTATCCAACTCATTGAGGCACTACGAGCACTGTGGCGCAACCTGCTCAGCTCATGGTTTTGTAAGCAAAGCGGACTATGTCCAGGGTGAGACACCGAGAAAACATTCCCCGTCAAAGCAGTATTGCGCCAACATTGTCATAGCATCGCGACATTGGCAGGTGCCAGCAGGCTCCAACGTCAGAAGACTCTGCTGAAGACGTGCGGTGGGGCATGGCTGCAGTCGACTCTTGATGTTCGCGCTGCTCTCTGCGTGAGCTTCTACTGTCAAAAGCACTGTTTCTGCAGCGCAGCACCGTGGTGGAAAACTATCTCCAAACTATCATTTAGATAGCTAACATCAAGCGCGTTGGCTGACTGCACAATATGGCAAAACGTGCGATCACTGTCGATTCACGCAGCCGTCGCGATCAACAATGCATGGGCATGTGGAGTCAAATATTTGATGCACCGTGGATCTCGTGAAGCAGGAAACATCGTCGCAACTGACTCACTTGCTCTCAGAGTGGAGGAATGGTTGTTGTCTTGAATGGTCCAAGGGTGCGCCCAAGCGATTCTTGTGAAGCAAGCCATCTTATTGGTTTCATGATGTCAAGACCGTTTTCGAGCCCGAAACAAAAAAAACAGCGAGAAGAGCAACTGCGTCGAGCATTCTCGCCACTACTGCCTTGCCCTGGGCACCAACACTCGCGACAGAAACATGGTGCAAGGCGGCCGGAAATCCTTTCCTGATTTCTGGCAAACTCCTGCAGCTCCGCCAAAGTCTGTCTACGCACGCAAAGTGACCCCGGCTGTCCCATTCTGCGAGTGACATTTGTTATTTAACGCCAAGGGATCAGGCCTGCCCTGAATCCACTAGAATCACTGCCGGCAGTTGGCGTGGGGTTTGCTGCAGGGCCAATGAAAGCACGCCTTGCGGCTGGGCATCCGCCCGCTGGACAGAGCGCGCAAGAGGCTAAGATTGTGCACCAATGGCCGCACGCAACCCCAGGCCAGGCTTTGCGCCAAGTCTGAGGCAGTACGTTCAGCTACACAACCTTCAGAGTGTTGACGAACACCAACGAAAAACAAAAAGGGCCCCGGGTTCATTCCTTCGTCCTACAACATTCTATGCGAGAGCATGTCACATGTTCCTGCTCATGCTGGCAGAAGCTGCAGCCACCGCATTCCTTGGCAAGACACGACGATTCACAAGTTGCAGGTTGCTAGCCTGGTGAAGATGCACCTTGTGCAACACAACGACGCCCAGGCAATGGCTGCGACTGGCACACCAACAACGAGCCACGAGCTCTGCCCCCTTCCTGACGGAGCATCAACTCGTTGAGAAGAGCATACTGAGGCCTTGAAGTTTGCAGGCCCTTGCTGAAGCAGGACGTTCAACGTCGTTGGCTGGAAAGATGTGCGTGAACGCGCGTTCTCTGCTTTTTGTTGGCGAGCGGAGCGAAGAAGGAAACACATAAACGCCGGCAGTAACCTTGTGTCCGATTTCTTGCTAAGGGGGCAAGTTCTTATGGCTGGACGCGTTGCATCACGTTCGTAGCTTGCATAACGATAGACACACAAGCTACACCCGGAAACTCTGCTGAAAGGGGCGCTGCGACTCTGCTCTAACTCAACCGATAAAATCCTTGCTTCGACAGCTTGGGCAAGCTCTTGTGGGCAACGCGCGGCACAAATGGCCTGCCTTGGTGCGCCCAAATCTTGTCTTCTGAACTCTTATCTGATCTTCTGAAACCACGCACTATTTTAAAAGCAGGTTTCCACGCTACCACCGAGCCTCTGACTGGTTGTAATGGCAGGACAGAAAGATCAAATCACATTGAAATGAACTCTTTGCTCAAGCTCCTGAAGTCAGCGACTTTATTGCAAACAAGCGCTAGTCCAAAGCATCATCATCTGCCAGTAGGCGCTGGAGCTGGACGCATTTTGCGCGCAGTGAGCGAAAGGCAAGCCACATTGCAAGACACCCATGAAGAGCAGTAAGTGAATGGAAGCAAGGGACACATGCGTAATTCTAAAGTGCAACTAGAAGTCATTGCTGATTCCGAAAAACTCTGCTTGAGGGCTTCAACTATTGAACGGCACTTCTAAGCTATTGCGTCTTTAACCGTGCAACGTCGCTGCAATGAGTTGTCACTCCATGAAGCATCCGACTCCGTTGAAGCAAGGGCGGTGGCCCATTCTGGCCATCAATTTGTCGAAGGGCTGTTTGATAATCAGGGAGAGGCAAAGGAATTGATCACGCACGCTTTGCCTTGCCGCTCCGGCTAAACACGCTTAAACGTGGATAGGGCTCATTGTCAGCTATCGCAGCGCTGACAGTGAAGAAGGAAGCCATGAACCATGCTTCCTTCGAACCTGTGCACGAGAGCACTGGGTGACTTGCATCATGTCCGTATCTGGTGTAAGTGCTATGCACACGCAAACTGCTGAAAAGGGCACTGCACCTCTGCTCTAACTGGGCACAGGTTGCACATTCGGAGCAGTCGTGGCTAAACAGTTGCTGGTGCACTCCACTATCTTTCCGAAACTCCTGCCCAACATCTGGCGCGTAGCATAACTTGCGGCAAGGGATGCTCAACATCGCGCGACAATGCCTAAGCAAAGCGGAAACACGGCAGCACAGTACTCAAAGAAGCCAGGAGGGATTGAGTCAGGCAAGCCAACTGCTCAACAGCTCTGAATCTCGGGCGGTGTTGCCTATCTTCTCCATCAAGCCGTGTAGCCCGACAAAATCTGGTTGGGAAACCCACAGCAAGAGCGTGAACGCCTACTTTGAAGCCTCACGGGCGTCCCGTCCGAGCCGGTGGTGTTGCCTGCTTAGCACTTGCTAAAACAAGCGCAAGTTGCCACAATGCTAGTTCAAACATCGAGAGGCAAGCTTTCCTGAAATTTCTTTGCGACATCACAGGGCTGCCAATGGGTCGGTCAACGCAACATCGCTTTAAAAAGGCAGCCCGTGAGCGAACCTCAAAACATCACGTTGCCGAGGGCTGCAACGAATTGGGAATCAGCAAGGGGCGCTCATCATCATTGCGGCTTTCTGCGCTTCAGCTGGATTCTGAACTGCCAAACTCCAAGTGAAGGCTGCAGCAAGCACCGAAAGCGTGCTCCTCAAGATCACAGCTGCAAATCCGCTGGGTGCACTTGACAGCCAACGTGGAAGCCGTTCACCCAAACATGTGACACGTTCCTCTGCAAAACAGCAACAGTCCACAGGCCCCTCATTCCCAGGAGACACCACAACACGGCCACTTTGCAGCATTTGCCGAGCAAGGGTCTGAGCCTCATTGTCCACGTGCGGCGTGTCAAACGTTCGCTCGTGGGCGCAAGCTTCCACTCCGACTCCCAGATTCAGCGTCAGCCACGCTAGCTTTTCGACGCTTCAGGCTCAAAAAGCAGCAGGCACTGAGAGCTGTCCAACGGCACAATGCCTTTGGCCCGTTTGTGCCTTGTGCCCACTACGGCTTCTGCTTTCCTCCCTGGCAAGCTAGGCTGCCCGTCATGATGAGATCGCTCGGTCAAGCCAAGCCTGCGCAACTTTCGGACCTGCGCAAGGGAATGGGCGAAACATTTGAGTCAGCCGCACTTTGCCCACCATCACGGCGGTAGATTGCCAGGTCCATCTTGGAAGTGCAGCGTTTGGCCCCAAAAATATACATAGCAGAAATCAGTCTGCGCCCGTGCTAGCGCGAACTGCATGCGCAGTCCGAAACAACTCAGCCGATGCGCTCGCTCTGACACAAGCTTCGACCACTGTGCTTCGACATCCAGGAAACGTTGTGCTCATGGCTCACGAACACCGGCCGGAGGCAGTTCTGCAGCTTCCACTAGCACAAGCACTTTCTACAAATCAAGGCAGGCAAGCATTGAAAGAATTGCTTCGGAGCAATCTCCCTGCCAGCGCCATCGACGCAAGATTCCAAGCATCGTCCCAGCATGTTCGGCACTAGCGTTAAAGCTGATGCGATGTGGACATGTGCGAAAATCGGCTTTGCTCATGTCAAAGACAGCTCCTGTCTGCACAACTCCTGTTGACATTGTCCTCCCCAGACCTTCAAACTTGACGTAGCGACGGTCAATCTTGGTTGATTCTGCCCGAAACCTTATGTTCAGCGTTCAAACATGTGCAAAGGCTTCGGCAAACGATTGCCTCAAGCTTTGCACTTCGCGCAATGATGAGGTTAGGCTCACAGGTTTGCTGCCACAGCAGCTTCGGCATACACCTGCCGTTCAAGCGCTACACGCTTACAGGACCCGCATGACTCACTGGACCAATTGCATCAAAAAGAACTGACAACCAGAGGCTAGCTGCAAATCGCTTTCAGGTGCCACTCTTGGTGTATAAGTCAAAGCTACCAAGCTACCAATTTCGGGGTCTGCCCTGCAGCAAGGGTCGAAAGCGCATGTGGCAAATGCGTGGCCATTTACGTGTTCTTATTGTGAGACCGAACATCTGCACACAATATTGAAGTACCAGCAGCGACAGCAGCCGCTGCGACCATATGCAGCAGCAACTCGCACCGCGACCGCAGACTGTCGCCTGCTCAAGAGCCTACGACAAACACACCAAAATGTGTCGCTCCCTTCAAGTCGTGTCATCGATCGTTTGCGCATCAGAAGTTCGCGCGCCAGCTGACGTTGGCGTTCAAGTTTGCATTTGCTGGCAGTTGGGGATGACATGTTTCTCCAAACTACTGTAGCATGCTCAACCAAACAAAACTTATGTCACTCACGCTCTCTTTGAACAGACCCTTAAAGCCTGAGGGACACAAACCCCCTTTGGGGCAGAGCAACCCTTCCCTCGCACGGAAAAGTTGCAAACAATTGCGTGCTGGCAGGCTCTTTGATTCTCAGCGCAGGAGTGGAAGCCAGCCCGGCAAACCCTGCTCGATTCCAATTGTATAAATCAGAAAAACACCACCTCTAAATGCAACTGCAAGACCTCATGCGCCACAGGCACCAGTCAAGTGTATATGGGCATTGCAAACAGAGGCTCGCACTTGCCATTCCAACCTTGTCATATCTGGCGTCTTAAAATCGAGCGTATCCAAGGCGCATTCGGCGCAAACTGACAACAAGCACAAGAACACCAGCGCAAACCACGCAGCCCAGATTGGTCAACCAGGCAACTGAAGCAAAGATATTCTAAAGCTTTGGCACGTAAGCATCACTGCGTCTTGCGCGGCTACGATCGCAAAGCACCTGCACGTTGGCTACCATGCACTTACCCGTTTGTTCGCTCATATACCAACATGTCTAACGCAGTGAAAATCCTGGTGTCGCATATGCGGAGTTTGCATTGCGCCACAGTCAGCCCAAACAGAGTGCTGTCCAGTCTGAACTGACATCACACGCTGCAGGAAGAAAAACCACACTGCAACTATTGAAAGGAGAGCTATGCTCCGCTGCGCGTGCTTCGTTTGGAAGCAAGCTTGCAGGACCCACCCAGGCAAGTCTCAAAACAGCTCAGATCCTTGATTCTCATTGGGGCAGTGCGCATCTTCTGCTTGCCCACTTGCCCACTGTCAAACGCGGCAAACGTTGCGCAAAGCCACGCTGCTTTGACTGACAGTGTTGTCAATGGAGGTCTGACACACTTTTCTGTGGCCTGTCACCAGGATGCTCTAGGTTGCGTGGAGTTGCGACGCTGCGGCCTTCACGCACTGCGAGCCCAATACTATTGCGCTCGAACTGCTGCAACTGACACGCAGCGCAGCTCGCCCGACCACACTGTGGCAGATGCTCAAGCTTTCTTCAAGAGGCAAGAAAAGACTTGCCGTTTCTCTGCTTCAGGCAAAGCAAAATGTCGAACAAAGCAATATAATATGGAAAGTTATATTCGAACGACGCGGCATCTGCTCAGCTGCTGATACTGGCAAAGAAGGCATCAAGGAAACCGCAGCTACAGTATCACATGCAGGGGTGGGGCTTCATGACCAGCATACTGCTCAAGCGACGAAGGTGAATCAAGGTCATCTATCCATGCTTCCCACTACATGGAAAAAATTAAATTGCCGGCAGCCGCTGAATCAATTTGATTGCAAACTCGTTTGCCAAGCCCTTTGGAGTAGGTTCGATCGGTCTGAAACGTATTCGCTTGAAGCAAAACAAGCAGTCAAGTTATGATTTGTCGAAGAAATGTACCCTACACACAGCAAGGAAACAAGACTTCTGCAAATCGTCAGCTGCACACACGCGGGGAGGGGTTCCCACAAACGGCCTCTGTGGGAATCTCTGCCCCCTTCCTGACGCAGCATCAACTCGTTGAGAAGAGCATACTGAGGCCTTGAAGTTTGCAGGCCCTTGCTGAAGCAGGACGTTCAACGTCGTTGGCTGGAAAGATGTGCATGAACGCGCGTTCTCTGCTTTGTGTTGGCGAGCGGAGCGAAGAAGGAAACGCATAAACGCCGGCAATAGTCTTGTTTCCGATTTCTTGCTAAGGGGGCAAGTTCTTATGGCTGGACGCGTTGCATCATGTTCATACACACAAATTACACCCAGAAGTTCTGCTGAAAAGGGCGCTGCGACTCTGCTCTAACTCAGCCGCCAAAACCCTTGCTTCAAAAGCTTGGTCCTGCCTTGGTGCGCCCCAATCTTGTCTTCTGAACTCTTATCTGATCTTCTGAAATCACGCACTGTTCTAAAAGCAGGTTTCCACGCTACCACCGAGCGTCTGACTGGTTGTAATGGCAAGACAGAAAGATCAAATCACATTGAAATGAACTATTTGCTCAAGCTCCTGAAGTCAGCGACTTTATTGCAAACACGCTCTAGTCCACGGCATCATCATCTGCCTGTAGGGGAGTTGCAGTGAGCGAAAAGCAAGCCACATTTCAAGACACCCATGAAGAGCAGTAAGTGAATGGAAGCAAGGGACACACGTGCAATTCTAAAGTGCAACTGGAAGTCATTGGTGATTCCGAAAAACTCTGCTTGAGGGCTTCAACTATTGAACGGCACTTCTAAGCTAATGTGTCTTTAACCGTGCAACGTCGCTGCAATGAGTTGTCACTCCATGAAGCATCCAACTCTGTTTAAGCATGGGCGCATGCCCATGCTGGCGGTCAATTTGTCGAAGCGCTGTTTGATAAACAGGGAGAGGCAAAGGAATGAATCACGCACGCTTTGCCTTGCCGCGCCAATGGAACGCGCTTGAACATGCAGAAGGCTCAGTGTCTTGCTATCGCAAGACATCTGAGGCGAACACTATCAAGCGCACCCTGTGAATGCTTTGCACTACTGGGCTGTTGCGGCAGCATCATTGTTTTGGCACATTGAACTGCCCAGCATCAAGTCAAGGCTGCAGCGAGCACTAAAGCGTGCCCCTCAAAAACCATAGCTGAACACGTGTTTGAAGGCCTCTCAACCGCCTTTGGCCCAAGCAAGCGACTAAGGTGCCAAAAGTTGCGACATGCCCTTCGGCCCAAGCGGTTTTCTAAAGAGGAGAGCTGGCGATTCGTCCACCAAACCTTTATGCGCAATTAGCTGAGGCATGCCATTCATGAGTTCCGTGTCACAAACGCACACTAAGGCACAAGCTCTGACATCAAACCTCATCGACGTCAATGGCACGAAACCTTCCATGCTTCAGGATCAGAAGGTACCGAGCGCTGGGAACAATTGTTGGGCTGCGAGACTGCAAACGCATGCTGCGCACTGCAGTTATCACACAGCAAGGCCGCCCGTCGTTTCATCCTGTTGCAAGCACGATTGCCAATTGCTCTGTTGCACAGCTCCTAGCACAGGCTACGGCTAAAAGTGCTGTCGTCATCTTCACAGCTGCATGCGCTCGCGTGAAATGGGTTCGATTGGCACGAACAGAGTTCGCTCGAAGCAAAGCAACAACAAAACCGCGTTATCACCCAACGTCTATCTTGGCTTACACGCAGCAACTGTCAAGCTGTGATCAGTTGAAGATGCGCACATTGTCAGTCGGACACATGAGCGGCCGTGTGAACAAGACCCGCAAAATCTCGCTTCCGTTGGCAAGCAGGGCCCAGGAGGAAAAGCATGCCTGTTGGCTCTATCCTTTCTTCTCTCTGCCTACGCGCTTGCAGACTTCATCAGCAGCTCCCCCGCCAAAACCCTTCAAGAGGCAGCGCTTCGCATGTTGCAGCTCACTGCCCTCGCGGAGGTACTCTTTTCATCACTCCAGCACTGCCCAAACATACCCGAACAATGCCTGTGAGAGTCAGACCGACCGGAAACCAGAAGGCTTGTGCGACCAAGAAAACACGGCACGCACTTGTGAGGCCCGCTGCATTGCTCACCACACGTACGCAGGGATCGAACCAAGCAGTCGAATTGCTTAATGGCCAACGTCTTCGACTATGGTATCATTGAATCTTCTGGAATGCGATCAAGCTGAGCTATGCGCCAAGCTCTTGACATCAATCACTCAAGCACCAGCCTTGCAGCCTCACACATGCTATGCTGCCGCTTGACCCACAGGGAAGTTGCGAAGAAGCAGATTTGCCCAGTTCGAGAAGGTGGCTGTGCCTCTTACTGCAGCAAGTTCCACCAAGCCACGTCAGAGCGTTTGCACAACTCCGGAGGGTCTAGGAGCATGTGTTTGCCTTCTTTTCCGCTGCAAACAAGTCAACTGAACATCGAGTTGGCGCCTACTGCCGCAGGGAAGAAGGACGCAGCGTCGCAAAGCCACACCCGTGCCCAATGTCGCTGCTTCACACTATTCGACACACCGCAATTCAGGGCTGCAGGCTTCAACTTCAAGGGACTACGCTGAAGACGTGCGCTGGGGCATGGCTGCGGTCGACTCTTGATGCTCGCGCTGCTCTCTGCGTGAGCTGCCACTGTCAAAAGCGCTGTTTCTGCAGCTCAGGACCATGGTGGAAAACAATCTCTAAGTTATCATTCTGATATGCAAACGCATGATTGTGCACTACAAACGCATGTTGTGTCGTGGCGCGTTTTTCAGTTGTCACACAGGCCGCCCGTTCATTTCATCCTGCTGAAAGCACGATTGCCAATTGCTCTGTTGCACAGTTCCTAGCACAGGCTACGGCTAAAAGTGCTCTCGTCTTCATCACAGCTGCATGTGCTTGCGTGAAATGGGTTCGATTGGCACGAACAGAGTTCGCTCGAAGCAAAGCAACAACAAGACCGCATTATCACCCAACGTCTATCTTGGCTTACACGCAGCAACGGTCAAGCTGTGATCAGTTGAAGATGCGCACATTGTCAGTCGGACACCTGCGCACCGTGCGAACAAGACCCGTGAGATCTTGCTTCCGTTGGCAAGCAGGGCCCAGGAGGAAAAGCATGCCTGTTGGCTCTATCCTTTCTTCTCTCTGCCTACGCGCTTGCAGACTTCATCAGCAGCTCCCCCGCCAAAACCCTTCAAGAGGCAGCGCTTCGCATGTTGCAGCTCACTGCCCTCGCGGAGGTACTCTTTTCATCACTCCAGCACTGCCCAAACATACCCAAACAATGCCTGTAAGAGTCAGACCGACCGGAAACCGACACGGCACGCACGTGTCAGGGCCGCTGCATTGCTCACCGCACGTACGCAGGGATCGAATTCAGCAGTCGAATTGCCTTAATGGCCAACGTCTTCGACTATGGTATCATTGAATCTTCTGGAATGCGATCAAGCTGAGCTATGCGCCAAGCTCTTGACATCAATCACTCAAGCACCAGCCTTGCAGCCTCACACATGCTATGCTGCCGCTTGACCCACAGGGAAGTTGCGAAGAAGCAGATTTGCCCAGTTCGAGAAGGTGGCTGTGCGGCTTACTGCAGCAAGTTCCACCAAGCCACGTCAGAGCGTTTGCACAACTCCGGAGGGTCTAGGAGCATGTGTTTGCCTTCTTTTCCGCTGCAAACAAGTCAACTTAACATCGAGTTGGCGCCTACTGCCGCAGGGAAGAAGGACGCAGCGTCGCAAAGCCACACCCGTGCCCAATGTCGCTGCTTCACACTATTCGACACACCGCAATTCAGGGCTGCAGGCTTCAACTTCAAGGGACTACGCTGAAGACGTGCGCTGGGGCATGGCTGCGGTCGACTCTTGATGCTCGCGCTGCTCTCTGCGTGAGCTGCCACTGTCAAAAGCGCTGTTTCTGCAGCTCAGGACCATGGTGGAAAACAATCTCTAAGTTATCATTTAGATAGCTAACATCAAGCGCGTTGGCTGACTGCACAATATGGCAAAGCGTGCGGTCAGTGTCAATTCACGCAGTCGTCGCGACCAACAATGCATGGGCATGTCGAGTCAAATACTTAATGCTGCGTGGATCTCGTGATGCAGGAAATATCGTCGCAACTGACTCAATTGCTCTCAGAGTGGAGGAGTGGTTGTTGTCTTGAATGCTCAAAGGGTGCGCCCAAGCGATGCTTGTGAAGCAAGCCATCTTATTGGTCTCATGATTTAAAGACCGTTTTCCAGCGCGAAACAAAAAAGACAGCGAGAAGAGCAATCGTTTCGAGCATTCTCGCCACTACTGCCTTGCCCTGGGCACCAATACTCGCGAAAGGAACGTGGTGCAAGGCGGCCCGTACTCCTCTTCTGCTTTCTGGCAAAATCCTTCGGCTTCGCCACAGTCTGTCTACGTGCGCAAAGTTACTTGGGCTATCCCAATTTGCGAGTGACCTTTGTTATTTAACTCCAAGGAATCACTGCCGGCAATTGGCGTGGGTTTCTACAGGAAAGCAAGCACCCAATGGGGTCCCTGAGGCTGGGCATCCGCCCGCTGGACAGCCCGCAAAAGGCCAAGATTTTGAGACCGGGGCAAAACCCAGGCCAGGAATTGCACCAAGCTACGCAAGCTTCAGAGCATTGACGCACACAAATGCAAATCAAGAGGGGCCCGGAGTTCATGCCTTAGTCATACAACCTTCTAAGCACGCAGAGCATGTCACTTGTTCCTGATGTTCCTGCTCATGCTGTCACAAGCTGCAGCCACCGCATTCCTTGGCAAGACACAACGGTTCACAAGTTGCAGGTTGCTAGCTTTGTGAAGATGCACCCTGCACAACACAACGACGCCCAGGCAATGGCTGCGACTGGCAAAACAACAACGGGCCCCCTTCCTGACGGAGCATCAACTCGTTGAGAAGAGCATACTGAGGCCTTGAAGTTTGCAGGCCCTTGCTGAAGCAGGACGTTCAACGTCGTTGGCTGGAAAGACGTGAACGCATGCTCTCTGCTTTTTGTTGGCGAACGGAGCGAAGAAGGAAACACATGAACGCCGGCAGTAGCCTTGCTTCCAATTTCTTGCTAAGGGGGCAAGTTCTTATGGCTGGACGCGTTGCATCACGTTCGTAGCTTGCATAACGATAGACACACAAGCTACACCCAGAAACTCTGCTGAAAGGGGCGCTGCGACTCTGCTCTAACTCAACCGCCAAAATCCTTGCTTCGACAGCGTGGGCAAGCTCTTGTGGGCAACGCGCGGCACAAATGGCGTGCCTTAGTGCGCCCAACTCTTGTCTTCTGAACTCTTGTCTGATCTTCTGAAATCATGCACTGTTTTAAAAGCAGGTTTCCACTCTACCGCCGAGCGCCTGACTGGTTGTAACGGCAAGACAGAAAGATCAAATCACATTGAAATGAACTCTTTGCTCAAGCTCCTGAAGTCAGCGACTTTATTGCAAACACGCGCTAGTCCAAAGCATCATCATCTGCCTGTAGGGGAGTTGCAGTGAGCGAAAAGCAAGCCACATTTCAAGACACCCATGAAGAGCAGTAAGTGAATGGAAGCAAGGGACACATGCGCAATTCTAAAGTGCAACTAGAAGTCATTGCTGATTCCGAAAAACTCTGCTTGAGGGCTTCAACTATTGAACGGCACTTCTAAGCTAATGTGTCTTTAACCGTGCAACGTCGCTGCAATGAGTTGTCACTCCATGAAGCATCCAACTCTGTTTAAGCATGGGCGCATGCCCATGCTGGCGGTCAATTTGTCAAAGCGCTGTTTGATAAACAGGGAGAGGCAAAGGAATGAATCACGCACGCCTTGCCTTGCCACGCCAATGGAACGCGCTTGAACATGCATAAGGCTCAGTGTCTTGCTATCGCAAGACATCTGAGGCGAACACTATCAAGCGCACCCTGTGAATGCTTTGCACTACTGGGCTGTTGCGGCAGCATCATTGTTTTGGCACATTGAACTGCCCAGCATCAAGTCAAGGCTGCAGCGAGCACTAAAGCGTGCCCCTCAAAAACCATAGCTGCACACGTGTTTGAAGGCCTCTCAACTGCCTTTGGCCCAAGCAAGCGACTAAGGTGCCAAAAGTTGCGACATGCCCTTCGGCCCAAGCGGGTTTCTAAAGAGGAGAGCTGGCGATTCGTCCACCAAACCTTTATGCGCAATTAGCTGAGGCATGCCATTCATGAGTTCCGTGTCACAAGCGCGCACTAGGCACAAGCTCACCGCACGTACGCAGGGATCGAATTCAGCAGTCGAATTGCCTTAATGGCCAACGTCTTCGACTATGGTATCATTGAATCTTCTGGAATGCGATCAAGCTGAGCTATGCGCCAAGCTCTTGACATCAATCACTCAAGCACCAGCCTTGCAGCCTCACACATGCTATGCTGCCGCTTGACCCACAGGGAAGTTGCGAAGAAGCAGATTTGCCCAGTTCGAGAAGGTGGCTGTGCCGCTTACTGCAGCAAGTTCCACCAAGCCACGTCAGAGCGTTTGCACAACTCCGGAGGGTCTAGGAGCATGTGTTTGCCTTCTTTTCCGCTGCAAACAAGTCAACTGAACATCGAGTTGGCGCCTACTGCCGCAGGGAAGAAGGACGCAGCGTCGCAAAGCCACACCCGTGCCCAATGTCGCTGCTTCACACTATTCGACACACCGCAATTCAGGGCTGCAGGCTTCAACTTCAAGGGACTACGCTGAAGACGTGCGCTGGGGCATGGCTGCGGTCGACTCTTGATGCTCGCGCTGCTCCCTGCGTGAGCTGCCACTGTCAAAAGCGCTGTTTCTGCAGCTCAGGACCATGGTGGAAAACAATCTCTAAGTTATCATTTAGATAGCTAACATCAAGCGCGTTGGCTGACTGCACAATATGGCAAAGCGTGCGGTCAGTGTCAATTCACGCAGTCGTCGCGATCAACAATGCATGGGCATGTCGAGTCAAATACTTCATGCTGCGTGGATCTCGTGATGCAGGAAATATCGTCGCAACTGACTCAATTGCTCTCAGAGTGGAGGAATGGTTGTTGTCTTGAATGGTCCAAGGGTGCGCCCAAGCGATGCTTGTGAAGCAAGCCATCTATTTGGTTTCATGATGTCAAGACCGTTTCCAGCCCGAAACAAAAAAGACAGCGAGAAGAGCAATCGTTTCGAGCATTCTCGCCACTACTGCCTTGCCCTGGGCACCAATACTCGCGAAAGGAACGTGGTGCAAGGCGGCCCGTACTCCTCTTCTGCTTTCTGGCAAAATCCTTTGGCTTCGCCACAGTCTGTCTACGTGCGCAAAGTTACTTGGGCTATCCCAATTTGCGAGTGACCTTTCTTATTTAACTCCAGGGGATCAGGCTTGCCCAGAATCCACTAGAATCACTGCCGGCAATTGGCGTGGGTTTTCTACAGGAAAGCAAGCACCCAAGCAAGGGGTCCCTGAGGCTGGGCATCCGCCCGCTGGACAGCGCGCAAAAGGCCAAGATTTTGAGACCGGGCCCAAACCCAGGCCAGGAATTGCACCAAGCTACGCAAGCTTCAGAGCATTGACGCACACCAATGCAAATCAAGAGGGGCCCGGAGTTCATGCCTTAGTCATACAACATTCTAAGCACGCAGAGCATGTCACATTTTCCTGATGTTCCTGCTCATGCTGGCAGAAGCTGCAGCCACCGCATTCCTTGGCATTCCGAAGACACGACGATTCACAAGTTGCAGGTTGCTAGCCTGGTGAAGATGCACCTTGCGCAACACAACGACGCCCAGGCAATGGCTGCGACTGGCACACCAAAAACGAGCCACGAGCTCTGTCCCCTTCCTGACAGAGCATCAACTCGTTGAGAAGAGCATACTGAGGCCTTGAAGTTTGCAGGCCCTTGCTGAAGCAGGACGTTCAACGTTGTTGGCTGGAAAGACGTGAACGCATGCTATCTGCTTTTTGTTGGCGAACGGAGCGAAGAAGGAAACACATGAACGCCGGCAGTAGCCTTGCTTCCGATTTCTTGCTAAGGGGGCAAGTTCTTATGGCTGGACGCGTTGCATCACGTTCGTAGCTTGCATAACGATAGACACAAGCTACACCCAGAAACTCTGGCGCTGCGACTCTGCTCTAACTCAACCGCCAAAATCCTTGCTTCGACAGCGTGGGCAAGCTCTTGTGGGCAACGCGCGGCACAAATGGCCTGCCTTAGTGCGCCCAACTCTTGTCTTCTGAACTCTTATCTGATCTTCTGAAATCATGCACTGTTTTAAAAGCAGGTGTCCACGCTACCGCCGAGCGCCTGACTGGTTGTAACGGCAAGACAGAAAGATCAAATCACATTGAAATGAACTCTTTGCTCAAGCTCCTGAAGTCAGCGACTTTATTGCAAACACGCTCTAGTCCACGGCATCATCATCTGCCTGTAGGGGAGTTGCAGTGAGCGAAAAGCAAGCCACATTTCAAGACACCCATGAAGAGCAGTAAGTGAATGGAAGCAAGGGACACACGTGCAATTCTAAAGTGCAACTGGAAGTCATTGGTGATTCCGAAAAACTCTGCTTGAGGGCTTCAACTATTGAACGGCACTTCTAAGCTCATGTGTCTTTAACCGTGCAACGTCGCTGCAATGAGTTGTCACTCCATGAAGCATCCAACTCTGTTTAAGCATGGGCGCATGCCCATGCTGGCGGTCAATTTGTCGAAGCGCTGTTTGATAAACAGGGAGAGGCAAAGGAATGAATCACGCACGCCTTGCCTTGCCGCGCCAATGGAACGCGCTTGAACATGCATAAGGCTCAGTGTCTTGCTATCGCAAGACATCTGAGGCGAACACTATCAAGCGCACCCTGTGAATGCTTTGCACTACTGGGCTGTTGCGGCAGCATCATTGTTTTGGCACATTGAACTGCCCAGCATCAAGTCAAGGCTGCAGCGAGCACTAAAGCGTGCCCCTCAAAAACCATAGCTGCACACGTGTTTGAAGGCCTCTCAACCGCCTTTGGCCCAAGCAAGCGACTAAGGCGCCAAAAGTTGCGACATGCCCTTTGGCCCAAGCGGGTTTCTAAAGAGGAGAGCTTGCGATTCGTCCACCAAACCTTTATGCGCAATTAGCTGAGGCATGCCATTCATGAGTTCCGTGTCACAAATGCACACTAAGGCACAAGCTCTGACATCAAACCTCATCGACGTCAATGGCACGAAACCTTCCATGCTTCAGGATCAGAAGGTACCGAGCGTTGGGAGCAAATGTTGGGCTGCGAGACTGCAAACGCATGTTTGTGCACTACAAAGGCATGTTGTGACGTGGTGCGTTTTTCAGTTACCACACAGCAAGGCCGCCCGTTCATTTCATCCTGCTGAAAGCACGATTGCCAATTGCTCTGTTGCACAGTTCCTAGCACAGGCTACGGCTAAAAGTGCTCTCGTCATCATCACAGCTGCATGTGCTTGCGTGAAATGGGTTCGATTCAAAGCAACAACAAGACCGCGTTATCGCCCAACGTCTATCTTGGCTTACACGCAGCAACGGTCAAGCTGTGATCTGTTGAAGATGCGCACATTGTCAGCCGAACACATGAGCGGCCGTGTGAAGAAGACCCGCAAAATCTCGCTTCCGTTGGCAAGCAGGGCCCAGGAGGAAAAGCATGCCTGTTGGCTCTAACCTTGTTTCCGCCTGCCTAGGTGCTAGCAGACTTCGTTAGCAGGTCTGCTGAGGCAGCGCTTCGCATGTTGCAGCTCACTGCCCTCGCGGAGGTATTTTTTTCATCACTCCAGCACTGCCCAAACATACCCAAACAATGCCTGCAAGAGTCAGACCGACCGGAAACCGAAGGCTTCTGCGACCAAGAAAACACGGCACGCACTTGTGAGGCCCGCTGCATTGCTCACCGCACGTACGCAGGGATCGAACCAAGCAGTGTGGAACTGCTTAATAGCCAACGTCTTCGACTATGGTATTATTGAATCTTCTGGAATGCGATCAAGCTGCGTAGCTATGCGCCAAACTCTTCACACATGCTATGCTGCCGCTTGACCGACAGGGAAGTTGCGAAGAAGCAGATTTGCCCAGTTCGAGAAGGTGGCTGTGCCTCTTACTGCAGCAAGTTCCACCAAGCCACATCAGAGCGTTTGCACAATTCCGGAGGGTCTAGGAGCATGTGTTTGCCTTCTTTTCCGCTGCAAACAAGTCAACTGAACATCGAGTTGGCGCCTACTGCCGCAGGGAAGAAGGACGCAGCGTCGCAAAGCCACGCCCGCGCCCAATGTCGCTGCTTCACATTATTCGACACACCGCAATTCAGGGCTGCAGGCTTCAACTTCAAGGGACTACGCTGAAGACGTGCGCTGGGGCATGGCTGCGGTCGACTCTTGATGCTCGCGCTGCTCCCTGCGTGAGCTGCCACTGTCAAAAGCGCTGTTTCTGCAGCGCAGGACCATGGTGGAAAACAAGCAAGGGGCGCTCATTATCCTTGCAGCTTTCTGTGCTTCAGCTTTGTCGAAGCGCTGTTTGATAATCAGGGAGAGTCACGCACGCTTTGCCTTGCCGCGCCGGCTAAACACGCTTAAACGTGGATAGGGCTGATTGTCAGCTATCGCAGCGCTGACAGTGAAGAAGGAAGCCAGGAACCATGCTTCCTTCGAACCTGTGCACGAGAGCACTGGGTGACTTGCCTCATGTCCGTATCTGGTGTAAGTGCTATGCACACGCAAACTGCTGAAAAGGGCACTGCACCTCTGCTCTAACTGGGCACAGGTTGCACATTCGGAGCAGTCGTGACTACCCAGTTACTGGTGCACTCCACTGTCTCTCCGAAACTCCTGCCCAACATCTTGCGGCAAGGCATGCTCAACATCGCGCGACGATGCCTAAGCAAAGCAGCAACACGCACTCAAAGAAGCCAGGAGCAATTGAGCCAGGAAAGCCAACTGCTCAACAGCTCTGAATCTCGGGCTGTGTTTCCTATCTTCTCCATCAAGCCGTGTAGCCGTACGAAATCTGGTTGGGAAACCCACAGCAAGAGCGTGAACGCCTACTTCGAAGCCTCAAGGGCGTCCCGTCTGAGCCGGTGGTGTTGCCTGCTTAGCACTTGCTAAAACAAGCGCAAGTTGCCACAATGCTAGTTCAAACATCGAGAGGCAAGCTTTCCTGAAATTTCTTTGCGAAATCACAGGGCTGCCAATGGGTCGGTCAACGCAACATCGCTTTAAAAGGCAGCCCGTGAGGTTGCCTTGCCGTTCCAGCTGAACACGCTTAAACGTGCATAAGACTCGTTGTTTGCTATCGCAAGCCGTCTGAGGCGAACACTATTAAGCGCATCCTGCGAATGCTTTGCAGTACTGGGCTGCGGCAGCAGCAGAAGAGTCAAACTCATTGTCATCACGCCTTCTGATTTCTGAAATCCCTTTTGGCACCTTGAACTGCCCAGCATCAAGTCAAGGCTGCAGCGAGCACTAAAGCGTGCCCCTCAAAAACCATAGCTGCACACGTGTTTGAAGGCCTCTCAACTGCCTTTGGCCCAAGCAAGCGACTAAGGTGCCAAAACTTGCGACATGCCCTTGGGCCCTAAGCGGGTTCCTAGGCACGAGAGCTGGCTATTCGTTCACCAACCCTTTATGCGCACTGGGCTGAGGCATGCCATTCATGAGCTCCGTGTCACATATGCACACTAGGGCACAAGCTCTGACATCAAAACCGCGTGAAACCTTCCATGCTTCAGGATCAGAAGGTGCGAGACTGCAACCGCTGTTGCGCACTCCCAACGCATGTTGCGTCGTGGTGTGTTGCACACAGCAAGGCCGCCCGTTCAGTTCATCTGTTGCACAGCTCCTAGCACAGGCTACGGCTAAAAGTGCTCTCGTCATCATCACAGCTGCATGCGATTGCGTGAAATGGGTTCGATTGGCACGAACAGAGTTTGCTCGAAGCAAAGCAGCAACAAGACCGCGTTATCACTCAACGTCTATCTTGGCTTGCAAGTAGCAACGGTCAAGCTGTGATCAGTTGAAGATGCGCACATTGTCAGTCGGACACATGAGCGGCCGTGTGAACAAGACCCGCAAAATCTCGCTTCCGTTGGCAAGCAGGGCCCAGGAGGAAAAGCATGCCTGTTGGCTCTAAAAATGTTTGCGCCTGCCTAGGTGCTAGCAGACTTCGTTAGCAGGTCTGCTGAGGCAGCGCTTCGCATGTTGCAGCTCACTGCCCTCGCGGAGGTACTCTTTTCATCACTCCAGCACTGCCCAAACATACCCAAACAATGCCTGTAAGAGTCAGACCGACCGGAAACCGACACGGCACGCACGTGTCAGGGCCGCTGCATTGCTCACCGCACGTACGCAGGGATCGAATTCAGCAGTCGAATTGCCTTAATGGCCAACGTCTTCGACTATGGTATCATTGAATCTTCTGGAATGCGATCAAGCTGAGCTATGCGCCAAACTCTTGACATCAATCACTCAAGCACCAGCCTTGCAGCCTCACACATGCTATGCTGCCGCTTGACCCACAGGGAAGTTGCGAAGAAGCAGATTTGCCCAGTTCGAGAAGGTGGCTGTGCCTCTTACTGCAGCAAGTTCCACCAAGCCACATCAGAGCGTTGCACAATTCCGGAGGGTCTAGGAGCATGTTTTTGCCTTCTTTTCCGCTGCAAACAACATCAAGCTGGCGCCTTTTGCTGCAGGGGAAGAAGGACGCAGCGTCGCAAAGCCACACCCGTGCCCAATTTTGCATCACATTATTCGACACACCGCAATTCCACTCGTGAGGCTGCCCGCGTTGCCAGGCGAGCTGCCTGGCCCTGTGCAGGGGATGCCAGTCAGCTCTTGAGCACGCGAGCGAGAAGCAGGAGACCCTGGACAAGCTTCAAAGAAAACAGGCCAGTTCAAGCCAAGGCATGGCACTCAGCACAAACGCATGAGAGATACGGCTCAGGGGGGCTCACAACCATGCAAACCTCCAGGGGGCTCAGAACCATGCAGTTCTCTCACAAGGCAAAAACACGCTTGCCACTACTCCAGGCTTACAGCAAGAGAAACCTCTCTCCCTGATAGCTCAAGGGAAAGAACATAGGGCGGGCGTATGCTGAACCAACAATCCGCTGTATTTCAACCCCGCTTGCACGCAGTCCCTTACATTGGCAGAGGAACGAAGGAAGGCACCGCGCGACCCTGATTGCTACATCAAGAGCTCAATGCCCAAAGTGGAAACTCTGCAGCCAGTGTGGCTCCAGCGTCCATTAAATTGGTCCTGCGGCGAAAAATAATCAACGTGCCGCAATCAGCTTGTGAAAGCGGTAAGCACATGAATCATCATGATGACAGACTGGCTTGCGCTTAGCGCCGCGCTCGCGATGCAACAATGGTGCAAGGCAGGTGACGATCTTCTTGTACTTTCAGAGAAACGTTGGCTCCTTCGCGACAGCCTTTCTACATACGGAAAGTTATCTTGGCTACACCAATGTGCCACTTGCTATTGTCATTGGTACCAGGAGCCTTGAGTGGCCCTTGTCCGCTCAATGATATTCCAGGGGTGCACCACAGAAACCCTTACGCCGGGTGCTTCCTTTCAAGAAAGCACTGTGGAACCAGGCCCAAACCCAGGCCACGCCTTAAAGGGTTTCAGTCCAAGGGACCGCTCTGAGCTATCCGCATACGCGAATACAAGAAAGACACGGCGCGGGGTTCACCTTGGCAGCAATGCTGATGGAGCAAAACCATCAGCAGAAGTCATCGCGAGCGGCTGCAGACACTTACTGCAGCTGCAAAGAGCGGTCTAAGTCTGAAAATGTTAGCTGTCACTGAAGGAAGGTCCAGGCAATGGCTCTAGTTGGGCAGGAACCAGAAAGACGCAAAGCGATTCGTTCGCCCTGCTCCTGGCTAGGCGTCTGCTCAAGCACTACTAATTTCAACCCCAATCCATGCGTTCGGCCCCTCTGGACCTGTTTGGATTTCAGGTTTAAGGGTTTAGGTTTAAGGGTTTAGGTTTAAGGATCTTGGTTTGGCCCCAAGAGACCCCAAAACTTTCAGGTTTGGGGGTTTAGGGGTTGGGGTTTAGGTTTACGGGGTTAGGTTTTGTTTTATTGTCTACTTGTCGTGGCCGAGTTTGCAAGTTGGGCCACCGGGATCCGATTCTGAGCTTAGCCCTCCAAGGTCCCAAAACACTGGCCCTGCGCAGCAATTTGCACTTGTGGCCAACCCGTCCCGAGGGGCGTTGGGGCAGATCGCGTGGATTGGCCATAATTCCAGCGTGACTTCCAAGCAATCCTTGCGAGGTCATGTTCTGCCAAAGATACAAAATCACATGTGGCTTGAGTGAGAAACTTGCCTGCACATGCTTTCGCGGCAACCAACCAAAAGAATGCCATATGTATGGCATTCGTTTTATGTA